GGAGCCGGTGAGCGGGCGGCAGAGCTTGTTTTTGGGGAACACCCTTTGGCAACAGCAAGGCGAGGGGCTGCAGGTCTTGGGGACCATCCCTCGCCCTCCTGAACGCCCTTTTTAACCAAATTCCCGCTCTTTGCAGGAATCCTGTCTGGCCGCGCGGAATTTTGGCCCAGTTTCGATGCTGGGCTGACCTCTAAGGGAGAGCTCAGTGATTGCAGTCACTGGGCTGGAGCACTGCCGAGCTGGTCCCCCCAAAGTCCCCCCGCAAGCCGCCGAGGCTCGGAGCGCTTTCTGGGGACGCAGCGCAGACCGCTCTGGCCTCCGCCATTCCCCGAGCCTCCGACATCAGCCGCTCCGCGTCGCAACCCCACGGCGAGGTACCGTAAGTTACTATAGCCCAACTCCGTCGCTGTGGGCTGGGTGCCCACCTCCGCGTGGGACTGCTCCACCCCACCTGGGCCTCCTGATGGGCTTCGCTCCATTTTCCCCCTATTTTCTCCCCCCTGTTTTTTTCCGCCGAGTGAGCAGAGATGGGAGCAGAGAGGTTCTGGGCGCCGAGATGTCTGGTTTCGCCCCGGTGGGGACGCGGCGCTGGCCGGGCGCTGCGCGCATGGGATGAGCCCACCAGCGCCGCGACGCGCTGAGCGGGACCCGGGCGGGCAAAGCCACCGGCACGGTGTGCGCAGGCACCAGCCGGCGTCACGGACCCCTCAGCCCATCGCCACCAGTGAGACCAGTGGGCTCTGCCCCCGGGACTGGGCAGGCGGTGGCTTTTGGTGATCCCCTGTGTTCAGAGAGCCAGAAAACGGGTCCTGTTTTTCAAAGCCAGCTTCATGTCAGCGATATGCGTGCAGTATTATTTTGGCTATCTGTTCTGTAGGATGGCTGGGGTATTATTTTTTTTTCTTTTTTTGAGTTTTACACTCAAGTTCAGGAGCAGAGGAGCTCCTACACGCTGGTGGAGCTGGTTGCATCGCCCACCAGCGAGCTCGGTGTCTGGGGACTGCGGATGCTGTCCCCCTCTGCTCCAACCTCCAGTCCGCGCACCCGGCTGCCTCCCCAGCCGTGCTTTTGGAGAGTGGGCCTGAACGAGGGCTTCCTGGAGACCAGAAGGTGAAGCCTTGAAGGGTCATGTTATATTATAAACCCAATTATCGCCTCGTTTCGCTCGCCGGGAGCTGCCAGCACCAAGCGGCTGGAAATCAGCCTCCTGATTTCTGTCCAGGGTCACCCAGAGCAGGCTGCACAGCACCGCGTCCAGGCGGGTCCTGAATATCTCCAGAGAAGGAGACTCCACAGCCTCCCTGGGCAGCCTGGGCCAGGGCTCCGTCCCTGTGCCTGGGCTTGGCTTGCTGCTCCATGGACGCTGTGCACGGGTTCAGCCCAACCGGGCAGAGCAAGGGCGGTAATGGCCTGTGCTCCCCGTGTGTCGTCCCCATGGGGGCTGCTGAGAGTCACGAGGGACCTGACCACGGCCAGGCTCTCCCTGAGCCCCAACTCCCGTCGCATCGACTCAGCCTTTTCGGCCATGGCATCTCTCCGTGCTTTCCCACAGGACAGCTTTGGAGCCAGTCTGCCAGGGCCCCGAGGGCACTGACAGCCCTTGATGGCCCTGAGCGGCCTCACCTGGGACCCACACCCACACCCCTCGGCCCAGGAGCCCATTTAAGCTCAGCCCTGGCTCCCCCTCCCTCCGTGGGCTGTCTTGCAGGGGTGCAGGGCTTCAGCCCAGCCCCATCCCAGCCATGGACCCCATCGATCCAGACCCTGATGTGTGGGTTGACTTCCCAGCCTGACCGTGGAGCTGCCTCGTCGCCACAAAGGTGCTTTGGGGTGGCCTTGGCCACCATCCTTGTCCTGCTCGCCCTGCTCAGGTACCCGCGCCCTGCCAGCTGGGTTGTCACTGCTGGCCCTTGGCCAGTGCAGTTGGTGTCATCGCTGCTGACCTCAAATGTCCCTGAAGGGTGATCTTGGGCCAGGCACAAGCTGCTGTGCTGGGAGAAGGGCTGTCAGAAGGGCAGGGTGCCAGAGACCTGCCAACGTACAAATAAACCCATCCTTTGTAAAGCCCCGGGAGGCCGCCTGCGTTTGTTCTCATGCCAAGAGCTGGCTGAGGAAGACTCCCTTCTTTTCCTCACGCTTCGGAAATGCACGGGAAGGTTTCCAGGGCATTGCTGAGCATCTCCGAAGGGTGGGCGCAGATGGTGGAGCGAGGCTGTGCCGCTGCAACCGGACCTGCGGAGAAGGTTTCACCTGCTGCTGGGGTGGTGGTGGTGGTGAGCTCGGCTCCAGCTAGACCATCTGGGCTTCGTGCCACCCCCCTGTGTCACGCAGCTCAGGGCGCTGTGATTCGTGCTCTTTCTCCTTGGTCCTTGGTTCATCCCCTCCCAGGGATGCAAGAGGTGGGGGTTTGCTGCTTCCCTTTGCCTGCTCTCCTCTCTTCCCCGGGTCACTTCTCCTTCATTCGATTTTCATGTGCTTGGCTCCACGCTGATATTTTTCCAGCCCCCAGCTCTGTGCCCTGCCTTGCTCCCGGGGCCAAGCCCGCCTGCGTGCCCGTGCAGAGGGCTCGGCGCTGGGAGGAACCAGTGCTTTCCCGCACTGGGCCCGGCGAGGGAAGGCAGGACCTCGCATGTCGGTGCCCACGCGCGTTCCCAGCGGGTCCGAGAAAACCCCCCGCCCGGAGCCGCGGCCGGCGAGCGGCAGCACGTGAGGTCGTGCTGGCTTTGACAGGGAGCTGTGCTCTGCGTGAGCCGGGCTGTTTGATCCCATCTCCCGCCTCCCCGCTGCGCTCTGCTGCATTTTTCCCTGGGCTTTTTTTTAGCGTGGGGAAGTCCAATTCCACGTTAACGCGCCAAGGATGTGCTGTTATCTCCTGTGGGCTCCGATTCCTTTTTGGATAAATAATTTGTTTGCAATAATAAAGTGCCTCTTGGGGTGAAACTAGGAGGGGTGGGGGGAAAAGTGAAATGTGTACCTGAACCAGAGCCAGGGAGGGAGGAGGGCTGCTTTCTGCTATTTTTTCTTCCCCAAAAAACCCCGTGAACCAATCTAAAAAAGAAAACTCCCTGGCGTGTGGCTATACGTTGTTCATCAGCAGGACACTGCGAGGTGCGGGGAAGCGCTGGGGTTCGAGTGATGAGGGGACTGGAATATCTCCCCCACGAGGAGAGGCTGAGGGAGCTGGGCTTGTTCAGCCTGGAGAAAAGAAGGCTGTGAGGGGACCTTAGAAATGCCTCTAAATATCTGCAGGGTGGGTGTCAGGAGGACGGGGCCAGACTCTTTCCAGTGGTGCCCAGTGACAGGACAAGGGGCAACGGGCACAAACGGAAGCAGAGGAAGCTCCAGCTGAACCCAAGGAAGAACTTCTTCC